AATCTGTTCTGTCCCAGGAGTCCAGATTCAGCTGCTGTTGAAACTGATCAGTGGCTGATTCCAGGAAGCTGGGGGCAGAGCAACTCTGCCTAGGGCTTCCTGTAGTCAGCCCCTGGTCAGTTTCAGCAGCAGCGGCTGAATCTGGAGCCAGTTCCGACTTACATACAAATTCAACTTAAGAACAAACCTATAGTCCCTATCTTGTACGTAACCTGGGGACTACCTGTACACTCAAAGAAAAGGATCACTTACCTTTACTGGCTTGAATTCACAGTATGCTCTATTCTCTGACTGGCTTTAATTGAATGGCTTGAAGTCAAGCATTAGAGTATTTTATTTATATTTATTTTTATATTATAGATTGAGTCACGCCTCCCACCGCCGAAGTGATTAGTATCTGAACACTAATTTAAAAATTTACTGTCTTCAGAAATGCAAGTCTGAGTATGGATTTAAGTGCTATGTAAGTCTGTCCAGGAAGTGGACAGTAGAAACAGTGTTCTTTAAAAAATTATTAATAAATAATAATAATAATTCTATGCCATACCTGCCATTCACAGTAGTAGATCTGATCATATCCCCTGGAAGGACTACTGATAATTCTAGGTCCTTATCAATTACATTCTCTTTCTGTTCCATGGTGTAATCAGTTGCTTCAGTATCATCAAATAAAGAAACTTCAAATTTTTTTTTGTTTCAGATGGAGGAAGAGGAGCTGTAGGTTGAGCTTTTCTTCTGAAATAGTTTTAAAAAAAATTAGGAAACATTAAAAAAAAAATCTAACAATCACTATATTTTTGCAATGTGAAGTTAGTAAATTAAGCTCAACAATGTTTTCTTTGGACCAACAGGAATATCAGAGTGAAAATGACCAAAACTATTCTTTTCACACACATGCTGTACAAGCCAGATATCTCACAGGAGGATTGTTAAAATGTAGGCAGTAGTGGTGATGCATGTGAGAAATGTATGCCTGACCTACACACAGGAGCCAATAAAACAGCATTGCATTCAGTTTTATATGGCCATGTTTCACACCAAGTATAAAAACCCCACAAAAACAAAACCACCTTCTATCATGCAACATGTATGTTTATTAAAAAAAAAAAATGATGTGTTTCTTATGCTGTAATAGCAAAATTCCCCAACAGGTTTATTACATTCTGATAATGAAACAGATGTCACCACGTAATGCAAAAATGCCACACGAACTATGTGCTGTTGACAATTTGCACATCTTAAGTTTACAATGCAGGCGAGCTTAGGAAAGTTTGATCTGTGTTAATATATTAAGTATTTGGAAAAAAAATCCATTACCTTTATACGACTCGTTAAAACAGTAATGAAATGGAAAAAAATACACAAAATGAAATAGTGTTTTCTACATATCAGTATTCATTTGTTATGTTCAAATGTTATTTTTGTTAGTCTTTGTTGTCTACTTGTTTGGTTTTGAAACCTGTATGGACAGAAGCGACATGTCTAATTATATTGATGCACCTAGTAAGCAGCAACCATTTCATGCAAGACCCTTAGCAGTAATATTTTGCCATCACCACCCGTTCTCATTCCCTTACAGTTAACACAGTGTGATATATCCTCCACAGAAATAACTATGGAAAACAAGAATAAAATGTTTTTTCATCTGTGGTATCGGAACAGGAGCATGCTACTTTTCTTTAAAAATACAATGCTATTAACTCATGTAGTCTGAAGCTTCTGTGCCAAACTCAGCTGTGATCAACGGTGGCATAAATTGCACAGTGGATGTAAGCTGCATATAGTAAGAGTTTAAGTTGCCATGTCGTGAAATTGCACAGATTTGACAATAAGTAGGGGTGAAAAATGCACAACTAAGAAAATACCACCCCACGTCTGTATGTATGGGTACCTACTTGTCCTAGCCTCGGTTTTGAGGATAATATTTTTTAAAAAAGGTCAGCCTTGCAACAGTATACATTGCAATAGCATATGTTTGTTGTTACACAGAAACTCCTTTTATTTAATCAATAACCCATGAAATGTGTTTAAATTACAGGGAGGAAAAGTTTGTGTACTCAATCCCCAAAAGGTCAGGATTATACTGCAAGAAAGCATTACTCAAAATTATGCTTTAAATTCCTGAAGTAGTATCTCAATTTGAAAGAAAAAAAGAGAGAAATCTGTCTTCAGTGATACAATAATTTCAAGGCAATATATATATATATATATATTCCAGACACATGCTGTAATTGGTGCAACAATTATACTTTATTTACAGGAATTCTTTAGGAATCTTAACCCATTAAAAAAATCCCATAACTTTAAAATATTGAGTTTAACATGAGGAAAGTATCTGGAGAACAGACTTTATATTCAGTGAAAAAGGATACATTCCTGAAGTATGCCCCCAAATTTACACTCCAAAAATGTACAGAACTTCAAGACATGTATTAAAGTTACATAAAAGCAAAAAGATTATCCTTCGACATTCCCTTAACAGTTATATGGAGTTCCACTCAACACAAACAACAAATTTCAATATACGTAGTGCCATGTTAAGTATTTGCATGCCACAAACTAAAACAAATTTACTTTAATGAAGCTCAAAGATGTGTCAATTCTCTGATTATTGCAATGACCTGCAATTTTGGAAATTAAAACAGATCTTTATAATACAGAGACTAAAAATACATACCTCCCCTGCAAAAACCGAAGTTCAAAGCTACTTACACTTAAACAGCAAGGTCCACAGTAGCATTGCAAAACAAGACTATGTAACTACTAAATTGTAACAAGATTTCACATGACTAATCTGTCCATTTCTGAAAGTACTTAAAGCTTTGAACTTCAAAAAACCCAAGCAGCATAATTTAACTCTTCACATCTCACACAGGAATCAGTAGTAATTAAGTTTTCCAAATCAAGCAACCGTGAGGAAGATTCAGAACCTTCCTCCACTCATGTATTTAACTTTTAAGAAAGTTTCCTTATATACAAAGGTTGAAGGAATTAATCAATGCTGTTAGTTTGGGTTTACAACTCTGTGACAAATCCAAGGGCACAGAGCTAACTGGTATTCAATTAACTTTGGTCAGTATGGGCAGCATGCCAGGGTTAAGTTTGGGTTACATGAAAGCTTCACAAAGTTTGTGGATTATGATTTTTTTTTTTTTAAGATAGGAGGAGTTGCTGGTTTTCAGCGTTTAAAAGGCGTTAGTGATTTAAAAAAAGCAGTACAAATATGTACATAAAAACAGATTCTAACAATGCAAAATGAATTCATTTCTCCCTCTTATTTTTACTTCTTTAACATGCCTAGAATGACCCTCACACTGAATGGGTCAAAACTTCCCTTTTTGTCATTTAACCCCTAAAAACTAAAGAGGGCAAGATTCATTAAACAGGTGTTGGTGGATTAATATTACTTCTCTCACCACCAAGAGAGTTAATGCATTTGCCCTACAAACTGGAGAAGTGGTCTGAAGTCAATAGGATGAAGTTTAATAAGGACAAATGCAAAGTACTTCACTTAAAAAGGAACAACTGATCAGTTGCACACATGCAAAATGGGAAGTGACTGTCTGGGAAGGAGTACTGCAGAAAAGGATCTAAGGGTCATAGTGGACTGCAAGCTAAATAGGAGTGAGTGTGACTCCTGAAAAAGCAAACATTCTGGGATGTATTAACAGCAGTGTTGTGAGCAAGACATGAGAAGTCATTCTTCAGCTTTACGCTGAGCTGATTAGGCCTCAGTAGGAGTAGCGTGTCGAGTTCTGGGCACCACATTTCAGGAAAGATATGGAGAAATTGGACAAAGTCCAGAGAAGAGCAACAAAAATGATTAAAGTTCTAGAAAACGTGACCTATGAGGGAAGACTGAAAGAATTGGGTTTGTTTAGTTTAGAAAAGACAAGATTGAGTGGGGACAGGATAGCGGTTTTCAGGTATCTAAAAGGAGGAAGGAGAGGGAAAAAAATTGTTCTCCTTGGCCTCTGATGGTAGGACAAGAAGCAATGGGCTTAAACTACAGCAAGGGAGGTTTAGGTTGGACATTAGGAAAAACTTCCTAACTGACAGGGTGATTAAACACTGGAATAAATTGCCTACGGAGGTTGTGGAATCTCCATCACTGGAGATATTTAAGAGCAGGGTAGAGACACATCTATCAGGGATGTTGTAGATAGTGCTTGGTCCTGCCATGAGGGCAAGGGACTGGACTGGATGACCTCTTGTGGTCCCTTCCAGCTCTAGTATTCTAGGTTTCCATGATATACTGCTGAAGGTCTAGTATCAAAGCTGCCAGCTGTCACTAAATACGAATTAACCTAATGTTTACATTTGTGCACATCATAAAACCACCACCCAATTCATACAGCAGCAGCTTATGCTGAAGAGCTCTAGAACTAGGGATATAAGACTAGTCGACTATCCAATAAGCAGAAGCTTATTAGACAGTCGACTAGTGATGAGCAACTAGTCCCTCCCCCTCGTTTGCTGCCTTTATCAGAGAAAGGCAACGGGGGGAGAGCCAGCTTAAAAGCTGGGGGGCAGGAGAGGTAGAGGCACAGTGGAAACAGCACATGCAGGGATTGAAGCAGTCTCTGCTTGCATTGCTTCTGCTATGATTCGGTTTTTTGAAATGTACAAGAGCCAGACGCATCTGGGCTGTCAGCTGATCGCGCGCTCCGCGGCTTGGCTCTGCTTTGCCCCCTCCCCGTCCCCCTGGTCTGCAGACCAGGGAGAGGAACCCCGTTCATAACTGCGGATCCGACATAAGTCGGATCCGCGTAACTTGGGGACTGCCTGTATATTACACTGCCTGCAGAGGGCTGCGACCCCACCTCTGTGTCATTGCTGGAGGAAGCTGGAGGACTTTGCTCAGCAGGACAGAATGAGAGGCACCCAGGAGGGCAGGAATAGAAGCTCAGTGGTATCTCAGTCCGTCAAGTGAACCCCTCATACATTATCTTGATGTTTTCCCATGTTTCAGGTTCGATTACCAGGTTTCCCCTGACCCCTTCCTTAATGAAGAATGTGAGCCAGTCATAAGCACAAACCCCCACTTCTTCCTTCTTTAAAGGCCAAGTATTGTTTATCTGTGGCTGGGATGTACAGCAGGCATGTAATTCTCCAAATGCGCATGCACGCACGCACACGCACATACACACCCTGTTTATCTAAAATAATTGGCCAAGCCTTACACTGTAGGCATCAGTGGCCAGAATACTACTGACTCTTTGTGAAAATTGGAGTATGTGTGCAATGAGATCAACCTACAGAAGCTACCCAACCTGTAACTCCTTGAGTTTCAATTGATTTATTTAAAACCAGTGGAAATCCTTGGGTGGATTCATAACTCTTTTTTGATCAGTTTCAGCAGCGGCTGAATCTGGACGCCAGTTCCGACTTACATACAGATTCAACTTAAGAACAAACCTACAGTCCCTATCTTGTACGTAACCCGGGGACTGCCTGTATTCCCCCCACCTTCTGCCCTTTTTCTCCCAGTTTTTAAACCTTTCCTCCCCCTCATTCATCTCCTCTCTCTTACCCCAGCTGGTTTCCTTTTTTTGTTTCCCATTTCTTTGGTGGCTTCCTTTTCCCATGAGAAATCTGTGGTATGATATCTGGGTCTATAGGAAATTTAACTTATTTTATTTACTTGAAGACAGATGATTAAACAGCATGCAGGCAATCCCTTATTTCAGGAATCTCATTCAAATACTAATACCCTGTTTCCAGAGAGTAACTGC